GATATGTGTATTGTTTTATGGTATCAAACAATTTTGGGAATTGCCACTTTATATCTTTATGGTATAAAGTCAGCTGAATTGGAGCTGGACATGTCCCTTCACCCCCCTCCAGTTTCTAATAAGAACTTGTCATGGTCATTAACTGTGTTTACTCTAGGTGAGAACCTCTTTAAATTCCACAGTCTGCTGCACCAATAAGTGCCTTCAGCTTTTAGTGGCCTGTTCTTTTGCATCTGTAAAATTTAATTTCCAAAGTGATAAATCCCATTTTCTTCTTCTCCCCCTCCTACCTCCCCATTTGGTTGAATGATTACGGGAAATTCATTCAAAATGCATTATCGTCCATAGATGCTACTCTTTTAAGCCAGCAACAGAAATCATTACATTGTCATGGTCTTTATACATGTACTAATCAATTTATTTCAGTAATTCTGATTTGCAGTTAAAAATAGGTAGTTTCAGGTAGTTCTTTAAAGGAGTGTTTGCATATACTTAAAAAATACAATTGAGGCAAGAAAATGGCTTAGCTCTGCATGTTTATTGTGAAGATAAAAAAAAGACTAATTGTGTTTTTCATATGAAACTAAACATACACCTAAATTTAAAATAAAAAGTAAATAAATACTGTAGGAACAGTCTGGTGACACAAAATGGTGGCCCTTTTGATGAAGGGGCATGTTGTATAGTGGTTTGCAGGGCAGTTCCAACTAAATAGTGGACACTTCAGGATATCAAGCATCAGTTTCCAGAATATTCTTTTCATGATCTTACCTTTCTCTCTTAAGAGAAAATTTGTTAATGTCTCTGCTGAATTCAGCAACTCCATAAATCTTAATTTAATTTCCCCAAGATAATTCTTCATTTTCCTTTTTTTCTGCTATTTGGTACTGTTCGATTACAGCAGCTTCTAATGATGAAGGGTTTTAAATTGCAGATTCTTCCTAAAAGACCTTTTAAAAATAACTATGGTTCATACTAGCACTAGTTACATGGGCACACCCTGTACTATTTGTGTCTGATGCATTTTTTCTGCCTAAGACTCCCTGGGGGGAGGGGTTGTCATTTTTGTCTCGTAAAGTGCAAAATACCCTGTCTCTTATATTCTGGAGATTTTCAGGTGTATGTTCAGTTGCTGGGAGGAAGGGAAGAG